AAAGAAAAGAAAAGAAAAGAAAAGAAAAGAAAAGAAAAGAAAAGAAAAGAAAAGAAAAGAAAAGAAAAGAAAAGAAAAGAAAAAAGAAAAGACAGGGAGTTGGGCTGCTGAAGAACTGATTCTCAAACTTAGGTGCTCTTGTTTTTAGTTCTGGCCCCTCTGATTTCTAGAGTAGGTTATAGATTCCACCTGGTGGCTTCCTTCATCTGTAGCACTCCCTCCGCATCTACACGTTAGCTGTCACTCAGACGACCTTATAAGATGTGATCTTCAGACTGGTGCTCACCCTAGAGGTGAGAAAATCAAAACATGTTTTTCTAGTACCTGCTTCTTGTGATCGAACACACTGGCTCTGAGCAGCTTTTGCAGGATTACTCCCTCAGTGACACCAATGGCCACTTCAAGTCATCAACAACTCTTAGGGCATGTGGGATGAGTCTGTGTGTTCCTTTTTGTTTTTTTGGTTTTTCCCCAAAATAAAGTTAATAATGACCAAAGAGGGTAAACCAAGCAGAACACTTTAGAATTTTAAAGCAAAAACAAAGTGCAAAAGTTTTTATCTTGTCAACTTCATGGAGACCTGATTCTGATGGCAAGTACTTCCTTAACATCTGACCCAGAAAGGAACACTGGTGTCATCGATGGAGGAAGCACTTTGGGGAGGTGGCTTAAAAGAGGCACCCATCACCAGTTGCCTTGTAAGTTAGCAGTAGCTGCACACGTTGGGTGTTCGTAGTCTCAATCAAACAAAATGGTACTTAACTACAAAAGCAAATTATAGAAGAGATTTATGCCTTAACTATTGTCTATGGTGGTGCAAAGAATTTAGTCCTACTTCTTTGGAGTTCCAACTTGGACCTCAGGGAAGAGCAGGCTGCTGAAAAAGGGCCTGTGGCTTGAAGAATCGTGGTTCCCTCTCTATGAAGTAGCTATGCCACTTACTTTTCAGATTTTATATCACTTTTACACTTATGGGGTGAGGGCAGTTGGAGTTAGTTCCATGATATGTGTTTCTCCAAAGAGCAAGCGGCTTCAGGTGTCAAAGCTTGGGCTGGCTGCCATTCTGAGAGAGGCAGAGACTATGATGCTGAATCTCTGCAGGGCTGATTTGAGTAGAGGGAAGAGCTTTCTGGATTGTTTCATTCTCTGCCCTGGTGTTTCCTTCATTCTTCTTACTCACAGGCAGTGCAGTCAGCTCACTGGACACCTGCCATCTCACCTACACCACGAGGAATGGATGCATACAAGTGTTCTGCCTGCTCCTTCATCACCTCAGCTCTAACACCTCATTTTTTACCATTTGATAGGGCTCAGCTTTCATTTCAAAAGGTTACTTCTTTTTGTATGTGGCTTTAACATTTTTATTCCTCAATCCTGTTTTATTTAGCATCTCAGAGAGGATTAAAAACAGCAAGGAATTGGTAGGAGACCAGCGTTCTCATTCTTACTCTACCATTAATGAGCTGTCTGGCCCCGGGAAAATCTTTCTGTTTCTCTGGATTGCTGCTTTTTGTACCTGAAAAATGAGAAGCTTCCCAGGGCTGTTTGAAGTGCATGTTCATGATTGTTTTTGTTCTATTATCTTCACGTGAAAAGAGGATGGAGGCAGAAAGTTTGAGATCTTGTCCCATGACACACTGTGAACCAGGATCAAGCCTAGGAGTCAAATGCAGTGGCCTTGCTGTCACTCTTATGTGCATTGAATTCTTAGGGATCTAGGGAGCTTCAGAACGAAATCTACACAATGGACGACTACTTTCTATGCCCTCCCCTAAGAGAAAATGATGACCTAGGAGAAAGTCTGCTCTGTGCTCTTCATGTTTCCTCTGTCCCGACACTTTTCTCCTCTATACTCATGGAAACAATGGGAGTAGCAATGATGTCATGTGTGCACCTGTTCAGAAATGTCAAACAGTGGGCAAATCAGGCCGTCTCCTTCAGCCTTTTCACAAAGAGCAAGCAAAGGAGCACTTTAGCTAATGACCTAGATACCTCTCAGGAAGAGACCTGTGGCATTTGGTTTTAAAGGCATTAAGAGCAATTCCTCCTGAGAAGAGAGGTGGCTCCAGGGTTGCTATAGAAACAGAAGGAGATTATGCAATTGTCCTTGCTCACATGGCCTGGGAACCTAGAAAGTAATTTACCAGGGCCTACAGAAATCTTCCTGAAACAGCACAGATAAGGTGTTGGAGGTCGCAGTTTGGACTCCACCTGATTGTAGCTGTGCCAACAGCTGCTCGGTCTTTCCTGTTGGCACCAGGGTTTGTCTCTACTTTAGGATGGGCTCTAGCATAGATCAAGATTTTGTTTGCAAATGGACCTGTCTCTGGAGAAAAGCAAGTCAAGCACATGACAGGTATGTGCACCCTCACAAATGCTGACTGTGAAGAGGCATGTGCACTACAGCATGGTACCAACACAGCGATGGCCCACGAGGACCCTTAGCATTTCCCAGATGGGTCTCGTCCACCCTGGGAACGAGGTTGTGCTTCTGCCTACAGTAACTGCTGGTGACACTGAGTTCAGAAACAGTGAGGCTTAACCTCTGCTTGGATTTTGCTTTTGGAACAATTGCTACAAGGACTGCAGTTTTGGAAAGATATTCCTATTGAGGGAACAGAACCGAGAGGCTAGAGGAAATAATCTAAATATAGAAAATATTGTACAAAAAGTGAAAAAAATTCCCAAGGAGTGGATTATGGTTTAGTTGCCACTTCATAACTATGATTGGTCTTAGTAGGAATTGCTAATACCTCTGAAGGACAGGTGGTTGGTGACACTGGCTTCCCAGGATGTCAGCCCTAGAAAATTCCTAGAAGTGTTCAGGTAGAAGGTATTAAAATACCTTTGTTTGTTGTTACTTCTTATCTTAGAATTTCCCAGTGGATGTTCGGAGCTTTAAATAGAAGCATCAGTTACTTAATCTGTACTGTTCAAAGCACTAAAGCAACAGTCACTGAAGAAACAGTGAAATAGTGAACCTGATACAGAAGGTCATCAGCCCTGTTGTGATGCTGGCGTCCTTCTCTCTGCTGGAGTTAGACCGTCACCCTAGCGCACCTCCTTCCTGTGGACCACATATGGGCTTGGTACCTATTTGTGCCTAGTCACATGGAACCAAGCCAGTCATGCCCCTTGAATATTCTCTGCTAGTTAGAATGCTAGTGACTGCTTTTAGTGTTTTGTTCCTCTTCACATTTAATTTCTTGCCTACACACACTTTTCTCCATATGAATACCAGATCATTTTGTGAATTAATAGTATTTTGAAATCTGTAAACTCCAAGATATTCAGGGAGCATCACAGCCTAACCATCACCTCTTGGGGGGCATTCTAAAGAAGATGTCCTTGGGCTGCTAAGCAGGTGAGGGAGATGTCTTGCGTAGCAGTCACTCTTTGGAATGTGTGTGGGCCTGAGAGCAGCCTTGCTGAGGTGGTCTCGTGACTTCCCTCTCTGGCTGCTATGGCTTGCGTGGGTCTTCAGTGTGTTCCTCATGGATTCAGAGATGAAATTTAATGCCCATGATGAATTATTGAGATAGTGGAAACTAAATCTGGCTCTGGTGTTTAGAGATGGGGGTGTTTGGGAAGTGACTAGGATTATATAAGGCCATCAGAGTAGAGTCCCCACCATTGAATTCTGGTGACTTTATATGAAGCAAAGAGATCAGGTGAGGTACACATGTGCTCCTGCTGTTTTGCATGGGATGCCCCGCATGACCTTGGTATTCTGCCAGCAGAAAGCCGCCACTAGATATAGCCCCTGAACACTTGGACTTGCGGAACTGTGAGCCAAGACAAAGAACCTTTCTTCCTCCTTTTTAATGTATTTGGTTGTTGCAGGGTCTCACTATACAGCTCAGTCTTGTGGTAATCCTTCTGCTTTTAGCCTCCCCAGCACTGGGATTACAGGGCCCGGACTCTGGCTGGCTCAGAGGGGGCGGGGCTGGTGCAGCATGTGGTGCCGGGGATAGAACTGTGGTCCCTACACTTGCTTGTGCTTACCTAAGCAGAAGCTTTAGTCCACTGAGCTGTCTCACCAGCCCAAGAACCTTTTTTTTATAACTTAGTGTGTGGTTTTGTGCTTTGGCAAAAGAAATAATGGGTAATAACCACTTTCACCCTTCAAGGACAGTGGTGCATTGTCATCATTGTTACCAGTGCCCACAGTGTTCCCCTTCCTACCTGTTGAGCAGTCAGGGCCCTGGTAGCCCTCTTCACAGACACAGATCCCCTCCTGGCATGGTCCTCGCCCACTGCAGGCATTCAGGCACCGCTGCTGTCCGCAGTCCTCACCAATGTAGCCTTCCTGGCATAAACAGGTGCCATTGATACATCTCCCCTTCCCTGAGCAGTCCCCGGGGCACCTCAGCTCCCCACAGTCCTCGCCCGTGTAGGGCTCTTCACAGACACACTCCCCATCCACGCAGAGCCCCCGGGAGCTGCAGTCCGTCGGGCACCGGAGCTCAGAGCAGTCGGCCCCACTGTATTCGCTGTCGCAGATGCACTGACCGTCCACACACACGCCCCGGCTGGAGCAACCCAGCGGGCAGTAGGGCTCTGAACAGTTCTTGCCAAACCAGCCTTCGTTGCAGATGCAGCCACAGGACTCGAGGCTGAAGTTGCCGTGGCCGCTGCAGTGAGGGATATAGTCCAGTTGTCCTGGAATGGTCAAGGGGAAGGTCAGCGGGCAGCAGGGGCCTCTCCTATAAGTGGTGCCAGGGAGGCAGGGGCAGGGATCACTACGCATTCTCTGATCAGATTTGAGTTGCTGATAGTGACACACAACATAGTCTGGTATGTGTAAGCTGACTTAGTGTGGTTGTCTAGAACAGTGCTGGGGGCCAAGATGAAGAAGAGGTGGTCCTTGGTCTCAAGGTGTCTTAGGCTGGGTTTCTTAGAAGTGGACCTTAGGTGAGGATGCATGAAAAGGGGACTTACTGGAAAACGTTTGCAGGAACAATTGGTAGAGAGGAGGTGAAAATGGAGAAGGAAAGGCATCCAATTCAGGCCGCCTTATTGAACAAAATTCCAGGGAGAGGAGCTTGAGCTCAATCCTGTGGGTGCTCTAGGCACAGTGAAATTCACATGTCATCATGGGTTGAAGGCTATCTCAGGTGTGTCAGTCCCAAGTCACCCATTCTTTACTTGGGCAGGCCATGGGGTTCAAACAGACTGAGGAGAGGACTCTTACCACGATGCCAGCTCTGGGGACTGAAGGTGACAGGGGCGGTGGGGAGTGAGCCCTGAGTCCACTATGCAGAGGGAGGCCGGCCATCTGGGTTATACGGCCCCATTCTTCTGCCTCCCCTCCTGCTGTCACTGACTGCCCATTCACCAACACAGTGCCAGGGTTACTCCATAAGCTTCCTGAACCCTTGGGCTCCATTAGCTACTGTCTGCTGGGATTCCTTCCAGAGTCCATGTATACTCCTGTCTAACTCCTTGTTGTGGTACAGCCACAGCAATTAAGAGAACCTGCTTGGTGTCTTTTTCTGCCCTTGGCCTTGAGGATATGATATCCAGTAAGCCCACCTTGCACCTCACACAGCCCTAGTGCCCTAAAAATATACTTCACTGCTGTGGCTTAACATAGCTCTTCCTTCTGGATACTTTCCAATCTGCCAGGCATCCTAGTGGGATGCAGGTTAAAAGTCCTTTTATGGGTTTCACCATGGAGCTAGCCAAGGGGACACATGTCTCTATTCCCAGCACTCTAGAAACCCGAAGCAACAAGATCACAATTTCAAGCCTAGTATTGGCAACTTAGTTAATAATTTTGCAAGACTCTATCTCAGTTTAAAAATAAAAAAGCCACTCTGCCCTCTTGAGCAGCAGAGACCATGCCCATGCAAAGCTTTGATTTTTCTTCATTCTCTAGTTCTGTTGGAAAGATGACCTGACCTGCCCATCCTCACTATCAAACTGGAGACTGAACAACTGCACTTCCTCTTCTCATCTTAGACTGTAGACTTCTATGGTTTTGGTTATCAGGAGGAGAAGACGTGAGGAACCGCAGGGAAACATTTACTTCCTCAAAGACTGACCACCATCTTGCTGTGACTCAGGAGAGTCTGCATGCTACTGTTGGGAGCTGTGGGCCACAAAGGCTGTTAAAACTTCCCCTTGCTTTTACCCTGAGGAAAGCTGAGATACTGGATCCTACAGGCGTGAAGGCTTGCATGCAAAAGCATATGGCTAATGCCCCTTCTTATCAAAGACAGCTCTGCCTCAGATAAGAAAAGCTGGGGCTCTGCTGATAGCTGTGGTTGTTTTTATGATGCATAGAGAAACCAGGCTCTCATCTGACTTGGTGCTTTTATAATTAACAAGCCCTTGTTGTTCTATTCTGTCACTGTGGACAGAGAAGGTAAAAGCTATGCAGCTTTCTTTGGGCCAAGCATGATTGTAGCAGAGCTAAGATTTGAACTCAGGGAAACAAGCTCTGGAGACTTGATTGCATTTCATGAGGTACAGATAAGAACTCATGAGTTTTACTAATTAGGGGATTGGCAAGGCTAGAAGAAAGTTCCTTCTCAGCTTTTTGGGAGTGAGACTGGCTCTATGAGCGTGTGTGCAAGCGTAAGTGTGTGGTGTGCAGTGTCTCCACATGTGCATGTATGTGCTTGTGGAGAAGGCAGAGGATAAAACTTCCATCTTGCTGGAAAAGACAAGAGCTGATCCTCTGAGACTTTGATGATTATCATTTACTCAGATGGGAGAAGGCTTCGACTGAGTGAACCGAGCACCTGTATTCCCTGGTCCCTTGGGCTAACATGAACAGACATCAATCCAACAGCCTGTGAAAGCCAGAGATGAATGAAGACAGACATCAAATTCCCTGCTAGCCAGGCAAGTCGCTGTGCTGAGCTGATGTACCATTACCTGACTCATCCCACCCAAATCAGGTTAATGTATTTCAAACTGGCTAAGAAGTGCAGGGTATCTCTGAGATGAATCCCTGGGGAAGGCCTGCTGGTAGATCTTATAGACACATTAACCAAGAGCTATGAGTGCGGACACTTTCTTCCTTGGGCTGTGAAAAAAGAGGCTGGGTGCTGCCCTGGTTCCCTCATTCATTCCCATACCCACACCCTGCCCTCTTCTGCCCCACCTGGGACCCCGTTGCCGAGCCTCCAGACTCTACCTGTGGCAGCGCTTTCCTGGCAGCAGTTAGTGCACTGGTCCCGCAGCACGGACACCTCCCTCTCCAGCATCTCGATCCGGCTCAGCAGCTCACGTAGCATGTGGCCTGAGCCAGCACAAGGGCAGGCCTTTTTGGGGAGGTTGATCTTGTGGGTGAAGGTGACCTGGCTCTCCTGGTCTGAGGTCTGGCCTGTGTACTCTGCTAGACCGCCGTCTTCTGCACTCACCTCCTGCTCAGCCGAGGCCTCCAGCCCCGAGGAGCAGAGGCTGTCCAAGGGCACATTGATGTTATACACATGGTTGAAGACCATGGGCTTCTCTTTACTGGATGTGTTGTAGTTGCCAACACCTCCTTCCTCCTCCACTGTCTGTCTCTGGACCCTTTCTGTGGTCACCTCCAGCTGACACTCTGAGGGCTTGAGCATGGCACCCAACAAGATCAAGTTGACACCAAGGAGCATGTTCTTCAGGACCACTGTGTCCCCGTCTGTGCCCATCCTCTCCTGTCTGCTTGGGCTCAGGAACAGCTTGCAGTGTGCAGCATGGAGTGCAAGAAGCCTGCAAAGAAATGAATGGACCAGACAAAGCCTGAGACCTGCGCCTTAGCACCTTGGCTCTCCTCCATCCTACAGAGGTCCTCAAGGCCATGCTGGGAAGGGACAGTAACTATCAGACTCAGAAGGCTCAGGACTTTGCTCCCTGAAGGACTGGCTCCCCAGCAATGGAGGAGGATGCTGCATAAAAGAGAAGCGCATGAAGGCAGAAGGCACACAGTTCCTAGGTGACAACTGAGATGAAGAGACAGTGGAACCTGAGGTATCCTCTCATGTCTCCCCAAATATTTATTATGAGGGAGCTCACCAGCCACTTCCAAATAACTTACTCATTACGTCTGTTAATTTTATCTATTCAATGTGGGCTGACTTTAGAACAACCAACAGGGCACCTAATACAGTTCCAGGTAATTGTGATTGTTAATTATCCTTGGGTACATTTGTGATTATCTGGGTCTCTGTGAGCTGAACTTTCTTTTAATCTTCTCGTTAGTACAGTTCCAGGGCTCTGTGATCACAGGGTGCCTATCTTCTTGGGTCTTGTTTAAATTGCTAAAATAATAAATTAGCTCATCTGTTGGTTACCTAGTCACTAAGAACCAGAGAGCACAATAAATTCACAGTAATAAAAATCAGTTTAACAAAAATTATACTTCCTTTTTATTCCCTACATAAAATAGAAAAGAGACTTCCCTACTTGGTCTTTGAGGCAATTTTAGAGCTACAAGGAAATGAAGAATCAAAGGAACAGGTAGGAGTGACTACTAATCTACAAAGAAGGTGACAGACATCAGCTGATAGTAGATTGTGCCGTGCACCGCACATGCAACCTTGCTTGGCACTCTGCAATCTGATAGTGGTGTGTTACCATTATACTCATCTTCCAGTGAGCATTTTCTGTGTAGAGAGGCGAGGATTTGAATGCAGGCCTGACCAGGCCCCACACCTGTGATTCAGTGACCGCACACAGTGCCTGTCTTATAAATGCTGTCCAGTCTTTCATCACTGTTGGAAATTGTGTACATTTTAGACCCTTCTCAGGAACAGTAAGATCAGAAACTTTGGGGCGTTAGTTAAATATTCCTTCTTCCATGAAGAATTCTTCTCTCATCGCTCCCTTCCTGGCCCCTTGTCTGTTCTCCCAAGTGTAGGGTGAATTTGTCCCCTAAACTCCTGCAAGCACCCTTCTTCCAGGAATTCCATGCTATGCCACTGGCTTCCTTGGCCTGCTTTTCTGCACCTGGAGTGCTAGGTCCATTTCAGCCGACAGTGTCTTTTCTGCGGCATGTGGCTGTGTGTCTGGGGCAGTGACAGGGCTCAATACACAGATGAATGAGTGAATAGAGGGGCAAGCACATGAAAGGATGAATAAGCAGATGAATTAAGGGGTAAATGCTCAGTGAATGAAAGGTTGAATCATTCTCCAAGTCGTTTAATCCCTCTCCATTATCCCAAGTTATTCACCGTTCTCTTCCCTTTCAGATCTGGGCAATGTCTGAGGGTTCACTGTATTATGAGTAGGCTGTCTCAGTGACTAGCATGAAAACATATTTGTTACTCAGCCCATACGTGATACACTGGACTGTAGTCCTGTCCTTATTTCCCATTGAGAGGAAGCAGAGCTGACTAGAGCTGGTGAGATTGTAGGCTCCTGAGTCAGACTGTTCAAGCACAAACCTCAGCCTTGTCACGATCCAGCTGTGGGGACATCACTTAACCTCTCTGTCTTCTGCTTCCTTATGTAAAAAGTGAAGGTAAAACCTAACTTCATAGAGCTGGAGTGACATTAAGTTATTGCATACAGTACTTACCCAGTAACTGACATTAACTTAAATAAATAAATGTGGTTTTCAGCCAAGTAGAATAATTATTCTGGCTCCAATTCTATTCAAAGATCACCCAGAAATTGTTGGAACATAGGGCATGTCTTATTTCTTAGTGGACATCAAGTAAGCCTAATACTTAATACATCCTTGAACAAGAAGGGGTGAGGGCCTTCATGTGGCAGAAGGTGGTGAGCCACTGGCACATTCAGAGAAGCAAGTCTACCTTAAAGACACGTGGAGTGATGTGTCTAGACCAAACTGACCTTATAGCTGTAGGATCCCCCTCTCCTCCAGGGCTCTACTTGCCTTCCCATCTTTGGGCTCCAGGAATGACCATTCTGTTGCCAATGCTCTCTGTTGTCAATGTGCTTACTGCCTTCAGCCATTTGCTCAGAGAAGGGGCCTCACTATCTCTCCTGATGAACTAAAGTCCATCTACCTGACCCACTTTTTCTTTTCTTTCTTCTTTCTTTCTTTCTTTCTTCTTTCTTTCTTTCTTTCTTCTTTCTTTCTTTCTTTCTTTCTTTCTTTCTTTCTTTCTTTCTTTTTTCTTTCTTTCTTTCTTTCTTTCTTTCTTTC